TATATATATATATATATATACATATGGTGATTTTTAAACAAAAATTTGAATTTTTATACATTATTGCTATGGCTAACACAATGGTTTAGGGCAGTGTTTCCCAAAGTGTGGTACGCGTACCCCCAGGAGTGCGGGAACAGTTTAGCGGGGGTACACGTTCTTATGCAATATATCTTGGAGCAAACAAAAATTTCAAAAAATTTTATTTAAAAACAAAGCTAGCCATGAAAATTTACGATTACGTATTTTTCTGTTGGCTATTTTTTGCAGAGTTAACAGTTGATAATTAGTGGTGTCAACAGCCAGCTGTGATTTTTAACTTTTGTGTAATTTTTTATACTAAAAAATCCATTCATTTTTTTATTAGTGGTACACAGTGTTACAAGCATTTAGAAAGGGTACACAAAAGTCATCAGTTTGGGAAACACTGATTTAGGGTAAAGTGGGATAATTATGACTACGGGATAAACAGTATTTTTTAAAACTCACGAAAAGTGTAAGGATTTTGAAAAATATGTTTCATCAAGGTTTAAGTGTATATTTGTTTAGGAAACCTTTAAATAGTTCTTAGATAAAAATTTTGCACCAATATTCAAAAGATTTTAAAAACTTTCCAAATCTACTAAAAGTAAATTTCGGTGCGTATTGGTTCAAAGTAATTTCAACCATCCAAAAAAGTTTTGTTGGAAGTGTAAATTGATTTATAACTAAACCTAATTATGTTTTCTGCCATTTTTAATTATAATTTTCTGTTTGTATTAAAATTTATTACTTGGAAGTATATGGTCATTTTAAAATTTATGAAAAATGGGCAGACTACGTTCTACGCTTTTTGCAAAAAAGAATTCAAGTGGTTGCTAAGTTTATGTTTTAATGTATTCTTTTTTCAATCATTTAAACGAAAACTAATTTTCCACGCCACTACATATAAATGATTTAAAAGTTTATATGCAACGCCACTTTGTTCCAGCCCTATAGTAGGTGAAAATTTCACAATGTTGGCAAAATTCCCAAAAATTCTGAAATGTTTGGTCTTTAAATGTTTACTACTCTATAAAATATTTTGCCAAAAGTCTAGTAGTTGGCAACCATGTAAATATATATAGATTTTAAAATTTATAAAATTTATCCTGCAAAACGAATTCTAAATATAATTTAAGGAGAAATAAATTATCTTAAATTGTCTTCTACCTTACTAAAATAATCAAGTTAAAATAAAGTAACATCATTACCAGAAAAGATATATAAACACAAGCAAACGTTTTCATTGATTTATTTTTATTTTTTAAGTGAAAGTTACTTATTTAAGAGCTAGATCATTTATTTTTAAGGATGAATTTATTAAAAAATCTTTAAAAGAAATTAAAAACATATATTCTGCCTACATAAACTAAGCAATAAAGTCAAAGTAAATAAAATAACAAAATAACAACAACAAAAAATGAAGCATGAAAATTTTGAACCAACTAATAGGTATTTCTTAAGGAAAGATAATTTAAGTTTAAGATAACTTATTGTTAAAAAAGAATATAAATATAACTTTTAAAGGAAAAAACATAAATTCTATCAAACTGCTTTTTGCATAAACAAATTAATAAAAGAATAAATTCAAAATAAATAACGTAACATTATTTCAGAGAAAAGGTAAACACAAGCAATTTAAATATTGGTGAACAAACAATGGAATAACATTGGTGAACAATCTTTTTTTTTGAATTTATACTAGCACTTGATCCTATCTTATCCGTGCGTGGGGATTTCTTATTTAAAATAAGCGTTATTCCAAAATTTACAGTCTTTTAATAATTGTATTTTTAGCTCTTTATTTCTATATTAGTCAGAATGTATAAGTTTATAAAAAACGTATAAGTATTCACTCCTGAGTGAACTTTAAAAAAATCCTTGTTAGGAATATTTTATTAAATTGCTTAAAAACTGTTGTTTGTTGATAGAAACCGATAGCAGATTTGAAATCAATACGCCTAAATATTCTTTCGAAAATCCCATGCAAGAGAGAAAAAAAAATAATAATTCGTATTAAAGTAACATACGTAATGGTAAACAAAACTCTTTAATTACAATTAACTAAAAAATTAATACTTTAACTCATACATTAGAAGAAATAAAATTTCTCCTCATTGCATTAGTTTATAAGGAAAAGATGTATACAAGTGTATATGCATGTATATAAATATAAAATGATTTTTTTTATAAACTTGTACAATTGAACAAAAAGTGAACGAAACTAAAAATATCATTTTTCAAATGAAATCTGCTGCTTTCCGAACAAAACTAATTTCAAATTCGGAGCATCCACTTCCCACTTAGATAAGATCAATTACTTAAATAAATGCAAAAAAAATTTGTTCCCTACCCCTAGTGTAATAATCTGAGAGAAAGAATAAAATATATTAAGGAAAAAATCCAGAAAATATATTTAATGAAAAAAAATTAAATGTAAGCATAAATTAGCAATATAATCACATAAAAAAAAAAACGATTATCATGATGTAGTTTCATTTCAGAAAACGAAATAAAAACACAAGCAGGCGAAGATTTTAACGGAGTAATTGGTTTTCAGAGAAAGATAAGAATTTTAAATAATAAACAACTATATTAGCATCGAAAAAAACGACTTACTTTCAAGTTCTGTTATCAAATGGAGATCAAATTCATATCTGGCTCAGATATGGAACTAACTCTTTCTTCGCAAACCGTTCCAGCAGAGAGGGAGAAACTTATGCAACAGAAGAAAAAGAAATGACCTGCAGGCGTTTCACTAATTTGGCCACATAAGTAGGCAATTCGCAATCGGTTTGTCTTTTGTTTTGGCTCGTAAATTTGCATGCTTGAAAGAAATTTCTTTCTAAGATCTGCATAACATAAGGGTTATTAAAAATGGCGCAGGTAAAAAACGTAATTCGTGTCCTTCTGATAAAACATTCAGATGACATGGATTATGATTATTCATAATTTTGCCTCTCATTTTTTTATTAGTTTTATTTGAACTATGACTCAAAAGGAAAATTAAAATGTATATACATTAAACTTTTAATAAAAATATTTAATTATTACAGAAATCATTACTGAAGTTTTATTGAATGAAAATAAAATTATAGTATCTATAATACTTCTTGAAAAAAATTTTAATTATGAAGTTAATAATGTCTTACATCAGTGTTTCCGAAAGTGTGGTACGCGAACCCATAAGGGTGGGAGAACAGTTTAGCGGAGTTACGCGTTCTTATGCGAAATATCTTGCAACAAAGGAAAATTTCAAAAATATTTATTTTAAAACAAAGCTGGCCATGAAAATTTACGATTACGTATTTTTCTTTTGACTATTTTTTGCAGAGTTAACAGTTAATAATTAATGGTGTCAAGAGCCAGTTGTGATTTTTAACTTTTGTGCAATTTTTTTATAATAAAAAATACATTCCTTTTTTTATTAGTAGTACACAGCGCTATAAAAAATTTAGAAAGGGTACACGAAAGTCATAAGTTTCGGAAACACTGTCTTACATGATCGAAGCTTGCATTTCAAAATTAAAACAAAAATTCTACGTGGGAAATACAATTGATATATAAAGATGACTCATGAGTTTTACGAAAACCATTGCAGAAGTTTTGTTTCCAAATAAGAACAAAAAATTCTACCCAAAAATTAAGCTTTATGAGTTAATATTCATGGGCAAATTATAAGTATAGTGAGAACTACTGAAATTATTTCTGTTTGAAGAATTCTATAATACTTTTTAAGTTTACCAGGATCATAACACGGAAATTAAAATAAAAATTGTAAACATGAATTATCATCATTCGAAAGTTTTTAAATTATGAACTGAAAGTTTTATGTTGTCTAATACAGAATTTTTATTTAAAAACGAAAATAAAAACTCTGGAGGGGAATTACATTTCTTGAATTAATTATTAACGATGTTTCATAAGTTTACAAAAACCATTACAGGAGTTTTATTTTTGAATCAGAATTAAAAAATAAGCAAATTGCGCTTCATGGGTTTATTTTAATGTTATATTAAGTAAATTACGCTTCATAATTTTTACGTAAATAATCGTAGAATTTATATAAGAATGTAGAGTACTACACCATTAATAAAGTTTTTTTGGATGTAAAATAAAAGTTCTGAGCAAGATATATAGCTTTCGAATAACTCTTCTAATATGAGAAATAAATATTGCGCCTTTTTTGAGAGCATTTATTTCACACTGAAAATAAAATTCTGAGAAAAATTACACTTTTTAGTTAAATCTTTAAATGTGGAGATTTAATAAATCATTAAAAGAAGCTTACCTCGGAATGAAAATAAAATTTTGCGAATTACGTTTGCTATATCAAACTTTAAGGCAGAACTGACTAAAAGATTTGAGAGAACAATTGCAGAATTTTATTTCAGAAGAAAAATAAAAATTATAATTGTTTTTAAATGAGGCTCACATGTACATCATCATCACCCGACCATAGCCAAGCACCCATCCCTACTTACAGGTACATGCTTTTCTTTCTTTCTTTATCATTTTGATATAATCACTGAATTTTATACTAGATAGAAGTAAAATCGGTTCGAATTTTGTACCAGGCAGTAAATCTACCTTTTTGAGAAAAATTTCTTTCTAAGATCTGTAGACTATTTCAGCGTTTTTAAAACTAATGCACTCCTTTAAATGTTCATGAATTATTACTATTCATAATTTTGATGCATGTTCATAAAATTCATAACGACCAAAACTCGGAAAGAAAATAACAGTCTTTTAATAATTCTTATAAGAAATTGTGAGTTTTACGTGTTACATTGCAGTTTTTTTGTTTCGGCATTTTTTTTTTAAATAAATATTTAGAGATGATTTGTAAGTTTTCGAAAACCATAATTAAAAGTTATATTTTTGAGGGAATATTAAAGTTACAAGTATAAGTGACACTAGTATGCCTAATATATTGAGTTATATCGTTTATACGAATCACTGTAGAATTTATTTCAGAATGATTCAGATGCATTGTTGGCTTTTTTCATTTTATTTAGAAAGTTCATTGGAATCACAACTTAATGTGAAAATCAAAATTCTAAGGATAATTTATGGTTTTTAAGACATAAATTATAAGTTTTACATAATATATTTTAAAACTTTCATTTCAAAATCAAAATAGAATTTTTGATTAAGAATTATATTAATTGAATAAATATTTTATGATGTTTAATAAACAGTACAAAACCATGACATAAGTTCTTTTTTTAGAAAAAGAAATTATGAATTAATGAACTTCATTATGAACTTAATGAATTCAATTGATTTTTCATCTACTTATCTGTGTCGTTAAAGTCTAAATTATAAGCTCATGTCTTTGCTCCCGATTACAATACAACCTTTTAACATTTTGATGATATTGGAAGAGTATTGAAAAAGTTCTATTTTACTTGTAAACTAAATGTGTCAGATGATATAAATGAGGAAAGAATTTCAATATTAAATTGATTTTGAATAGATAATTTTAGCCTTTTATGCCTCAAAAAATTTTTTAATAAAATATTATTTCAAAATATCATTTTCATATATTTTACGTTTTTATTATTATTATTGATGGTGGTGAATAAGAACTTTTTTCGATGACAATGGAAAATATGATGCCTTTGTCACAAAAACTCATATGATTAAAAAGTTTTCCTCATTTGATAGTGATCATTCATTCAATTCATTATTCATTCGTTTTATTATTCATTCAATTCATTATTCATTTGTTTTATTATTCATTCAATTCATTATTCATTCGTTTTATTATTCATTCATTCTATTATTCACTCAATTCATTAACCATTCAATTCGATATTCATTCAATTCAGCCAATTAAAACTTATATAATTATTTGACCGATTATGCTCCAATTTTGGATTTAGGCATTAAAAATTACTAAGTTCAAAATAATGTAAGAATTAGCATATCTTACACTTTAAAAGTTTTCGCTTATTTTTCAAGGAAGTAATGAAAAATAAAAAATTACTAGCAGACCCTATTCCAAGCTTCCTGAGCTCAACAATCATCCTTTAGGATTTCTTTGCAATTCGAACCCGTTTCATTTATTTACTGCAGTGTTTCCCAAAGTGTGGTACGCGTACCCCCAGGGGTACGGGAACAGTTTAGTGGGAGTACGCGTTCTTATGCGAAATATCTAGCAGCAAACGTAAATTTCAAAAAATTTTATTTAAAAATAAAGCTAGCCATGAAAATTAACGATTACATATTTTACTATTGGCAATTTTTTGCAGAGTTAACAGTTAATAATTAGTGGTATCAACAGTCAGTTGTGATTTTTAACTTTTGTGTAATTTTTTTATTGTAAAAAATACATTCATTTTTTAATTAGTGGTACACAGCGCTTCGAAAAATTAAGAAAGGGTACACAAAAGTCATAAGTTTGGGAAACACTGACTTACTGTATACTTTTGTGTTTTGGTTTATCTTTATATGTATGCATATAACCTTTTTAAAACGAAGTTTTAAAAATAAGTTGAATAGAGAAATTATATGAATTACTTGTTCCAAATGTAATTACCAAGTAACGTTGAAATGTATTTAACATTGAAATTTAGTTAATATTTATAAATATTTCAATGCGATCTAGAAATTATAATAGAAGCAAGTATTTCATAGCATTTCTCTATATCAACGTTTCCATTTTAAAGCCCATTACCAACCACGGTCCCCATTAAGAAACAAGAAAAATCTACCATTTATGCCTGCTTTAATAGAAATTGATAGCTGATGTGAGAAAATCAGACAAGTTTCTCTACCACTCCTGGCTATCACTTTTAATTTAAAAAGTAGTATCACGATTTATCAAGACAGAATTCTAAACCCTTAAGGTTTATGCGTTTACTTTTAAATTTTCAAAATTGTCACTTAGAATATTCTTCGACAAAACACTTAAAATCTGTTTTGCAATAAATAAAAACATCGTTTCGAACTGTTTCGTTTTAAATAGTATAGGAGAAAAATTTACTTCTAATTAGTATGTAGAAAACTTGTTTATTGTTTTAAAAATAATCCACAGTCTTCGCCAGGGCGTGAAAGGGTGACAAGTTTCGGTGTTCTGGACAACCACACCTCCTACCCACTCATCGGTGGCATCCGGGATTGTTAACTAAATCCTAATCCCACGCTTCGTATAATCTGTATATTCCGCAAACACTGACCTTTCTTAATTAAAAGACGTAATAAAGTAGAAGGAAAAAACTAATCACTGTTATAACGGCTTCTCCCATTTCCTTATTGATTTCTCCGGTCATGGTCAATTGTATTTGAAAATTTAACCCATTTGTGCCAAGCTTCTTTTTAAAGGTACAGTTCCTTTTAATACAAATTAAAAAATGAAAAGGTAGAAATAAAAAACAAAAGTGTTTCATTGTAAAGATTAATTTCAATAAAATAAAATAGTTCTGTCTATCGAAATATGGATACCAATGTAAATATTTATATTTGGATCTGATCTGAAATGAATGAACAGTGGTTTCTTAAAGTGATATAAAACAGAAAGAAAGAATTATAAACAAATATGTACTACCACTTGATGCAAATAAATATGTACAACCACTTTTTTCACGTAGGGGAGAAGGGGACTAGTGTGGATAATTAAACATACAGAGATGCCAGACGCTCCGCTTTCTGCAAAAATATTTTATAAAGTGGAAGAATATAACCCTAAATTTTATAGAATTTAACAATTTTTGAATATGCTTTAAGAACCTCCCTTGGAGATAAAAACAACTACGTGGAATACATGTANCATTAATTCTTTTTCTAAAAATTCTATAACTATAAAAAAATTTTAATTATTTTTAAAAGATATTCATGCATTTTTAAAAAAGGGAGATGTATAGAGGTCTGGTATGAG